TCTTTCCTGGGTTACTTAAGGAAGACTTTGCTTTGCTGAGAAGGGCACTGAGAGCCGTTAGTAGGGCAAGTGGGATATCATTAAACCAACTGGTGAACACTATTGTAGATAGACATATTTTATCATGTAAGAAACGAGCGAATACAATATTGTCGGACCCCGAGCATCCTCTATATACGCAGCTGTCTCCTTGCATTTCATCTGGTAGAACTAGAAGCAGCTATAGGCGGCTATATGCTAGGACTACCAAGTACAAAAACTCCACAATACCATATCTGGCACAGCTGTTATGCGATGAGAAATCCGTTAGGTATATGACACGATAAACTTACTGCGGCACTCTAACAAATAGTCCCATTGGTTTTTGTTTTCCTTTCCTCGTTACTATTACACTGTTGTTCTCATCTTCTATCACACACCAATTTTATATTTCATATCTTGTGGTGCATTGTTTGAAATATAAATGCTACGCTGTTCTTTTTATTTTTTATATTTATCCTTTTTTGGCGGTGCTTTTTGATTTTAAAAATCTTATAAAATTTATGAGGTAATTGGATGCAATATACTGTAATGCCTGCTGAAAATTCCATACCTGTACCACAAATACCGTTTGTAATAAAGCTGTTATTATTATTATTAAAATTAATTAAAAATTAATTCTTGGTTCATGAAAACACCAAAAAAAATGATGAAACACTGGGTCTAAACTCTAAAAATAAATATAACCTGAAATTTTTCGGTAAGACAAATGATAAACAAATAAACGCTTATTGATTTCTGAATTTATGACACCGGTTAGTATATGCCATACTGTGTTATTTCCTGGTGGTGAGGTCAAGCTTGTATGTCAAAATAACTCAACAAGTAGTTACATTGATTAAAGCCAATGCTCTTGCAATTCCTGCCATACCACAAAAGTTGGGTTGAGAGCAGTGGTGAGATCAATCTTATCTGAGTTGTTTTCACTATATTGGGGGTCTGAGACCGAGGTTGTACCGCTGGCGCATTGTGGTGATATTCTCCCACTCCCGCATTTTAGACAACCTGAAAGCCAGCTAGCTAACTATATTACCTTTCCGCTTTAGGCAGGGAGGTTAGAAAAGATCGATCTGAAAATGTGTACATCTTGAATCACCCTGTGTTGGTCTGTAGCACACAACTCCAGAAGCTACTTTAAACATGTTGCATGTGAATGGCCTCAAGTGGTTGCTTCCTAGGATCTGTGTTCATGCTACACTAGTACTCCCTAATGCCGGCGACCAGGAAGGTCGTATAATGATCCATAGAGTTTCACTTTCCAGTCTGTGTTAATGAAAACACTTATTATTATTATTATATCCTTTGGTTCCTAGAGGAACATAGGGCTTCAGCTGCGCACCTACATTGCCTTCTGTTTTCTGACAACTTTTTCACCCCGCTCCAGGTCTGTCCACATGCTTTCATCTCCTCTTCACATCACCTCTTCCAAGTCACCCTTGCACTGATGACCAACTCGCCGCTTCCCATTCAATACGGTTCCACTCGAGCAATGGTTTGTCTAGAGATGTCACTTGATGGCGTGTTTTCTCAGAGTATAGCCAGCCAATCCATCTCCATTTCTTCCTGCGTATTTGTTGCACAATCGGTTCCTGCTGTGTTGGTTCGCTCATTGCCAGAGATCCCTCCCTGTTGGTGATCTTTTCTGGCTGGCCATCTGATTTTGAGTTGTATTGAGCGAAGACAGTTGTTAATGAAGGTCTGGAGTTTGTTTGAGATGCTCTTTATGACTCACCAAGTCTCTGATCCGTATAGTAGCACTGACTGACCTCACATTGGAGTTGGAAATCCGGATGTTATTTTTGGTGGTGAGTGGTGTTCATCTCCTCCACACAGACTTGAGAGTAATGAAAGCTTATCTTGCTTTCCCCATCCTCATCGCTTTGGTATCCTCGTCAGTTCCGTCCGCCTGTAGTTGTAACAATGCTTCCCAGGTGGGTAGGTAGGTGAAGGAGGTTGTTTCTTTCAGGTTCCTCTCATCTATGGTGACTGATTGTTGTCTGGTGTTGTTGTTGCTGTTGGTGTTGGTCAGGAATCTTCATCACCTCTGTTTTCTCTTTGTTCACCTGAAGTGAAGTCCTATCTTTGATGCTTCCTCCTCTGCCAGCTTGTTGCTTTTCACTTGAATATCTTCCAGTTTGTAGGAAATCAGACATATATCATGGGCGAAGTCCAGATCCTCCAAGTCTCTTCTTGTATGTGTCCATCTTACGCCTATTTCCGCTTTGCCCGCTGTCTCCCACGTTATCCAGTCTACTGCAATCAGGAAGATCATTGGTGATAGTAGATAGCCAGCTTGCCTCACTCCAGTCTTCACTTCAAAGGATTCCGTGAGTTTCTCGTTGTGGATTACTTGGCTGGCATGCATCATTGTCGTATAACTGTTAGATGAGATGTATAATTGTCGGTGGCACCCTGTAGTAGCGAAGTAGTTTCCAAATCACCTCTCGATCGACACTATGCTATCGAAGGCCTTTTCAAAGTCGATGAAGTTGAAATAGAGAGGTGACTACCATTCCAAGCTTTGTTCAGTGATGATCCGTAGTGTGGCGATTTGATCAACACGTGACTCGTTTCTCCTGAATCCAGCTTGTTCCGGTCGAAGTTTTGCATCCAGGTTGGCTTGTTTGATTCTCTCCAGGATGATGCGGCTTAGTATTTTGAGGGGAATGTACAGGAGCATAATTCCGTGCCAGTTTTTGCATTGACTTAAGTCTCCTTTCTTTAGTAGTTTGAATAAGTATCCTTTCTCCCAGTCCAAAACACTTTGTTTTAATAAGAATATTTCATAAAATGTCATCCACAATTTCATACGAAGCCGATGATATAGGACAAATCAATTGTTCAATCTTTGTTTTTAGTCTTTAACCATGCAACATCAATTCACACAGTACACCTCAGTCTTCAACCACCTAGCTTGGTGACCATATTCCAAACATGAGTGTGATAGAGTTTAGTCTACACCAATGCCAACGACCTAGACGTATAGCATAAGTTATTCCCAAGTAGTCAATCAGTCTAGTCTACGGCAGGTCTATCATGAGTCCGAATAGCTCAGTGGTAACGTCTCTGAGTGCAACATTCGATGACGCGAATTTGAATCCTATTTGGGAGAGCGATATGCGCTCCATCAACGTTGCAATTGCGTCAGACTGACATCAGTTTATTCTATGTTGTTTGGTGAAACCACTGTTATTTACAAAATTATCTTATATTGGATTTCTGTTCACCGGAGAACACTTAGTAATTCGATAGTTTAACTTCACTATTTTTGTAATAGAAGTCAGTACAACATTTTCAAAATAAGATAGCAAGTATGCTCACAATGTATAGAGTTTCTTAATAAAATGAAAGGTCTACACAATTGTAACCTATCTCGTCGAATGAAGACAAAATATTTGAAAATCAATGAGATGCCCACTAGCGACTGGCCCTATTCAGGTAGGCGTGATCAATAGGGTGTAGCAGGTTGGGTGTGAGGACAAATATTGGCCAAAGAAGATAATGGTCAGCGATCGCGCTATATGTTAGGAATTGGCAGAAGTTAGAATTCATAGTGTGGCCATTGGTTCGAGTCCCAGTGGCTGCTTAATGGTCTATAAGCTTGCTTGCTGGCCTTATAACTAGAAGGTTCTGGGTCCTAGGTAGAAGAAACAGCTGGCTGTTCAGTACTCCCTAGTTGGTGATCCAAATAGCCCTCTAACTGATGTCAGCTCGTGAGGAAATCCTGTAAATAATCAATCAAATCCCTACAAACCACTACTTGAAGAACAATGTATTTTATCTGACCTGACTTAGAATTACAACACAATCTTTATTAGAACTCATATTCCACTACCACTACTGAGTGTTTGAGATGAGTAGTTTTAAGTAGTTTAACGCGTTTATGCCTGCTGTCTTGATTAACAATTTTCGGTATCAGTAAGATCGCATCTTTTAATCTAAATAATTTTAGTTTTTCAAGGATACTGAGGTAAGTTCTCCTCCACGAACTGCGTCAACTGCAGACTGCAAGTCTGATCTACCAATCTTTGTTAGATGAATTGTGCATATCACAATCTATGTCGTGTGTTTAGTATATTAAATGATAATCAAGAATTTCAATTGGTGGATGGTGATTAGCAGTGGAATCCAGGATAACACGCGTTTCGTCCTATTTGGGACTCGTCAGCTAGTGGATGTACGTGCATTTCTCAGTGAATGATGATGTTCTCAACACCGAGGCTCGAACCCGGTGCCCATAGTTTCAAACGCCAAAGCGTTATCCACTAGACCCCTTGGGCCACGAGGGCCACTTCTTGTGCAACTGGTCATATTAATTTAATTTAATTTTAGATTTTCCCGTCGACTGAGTGGACGACCCGAAGTGCTCGGTCTTAGGTTGACATGTCAGCTTCGTGTGCAGATGCCTCGACAATATTTGGGCATTTAATTAGCATTTAATTGGTGGATGATGGCTAGCAGTGGAAATGCAGGTACATCCACTTGCTGACGAGTCCCATATAGGACGAAATGCGCATCCTGGTGGATTCCGCAGCTAATCACAATCCACCAAATAAATACTAATTAAATGCCCAGACAACGTCGAAGCATCTGTACAAGAAGCCGACAGACATGTCAACCTGAGATCGACCACTTCGGTTCAATCACTCGACGGGAAAAATCTAAAATTCAATTAAGATAATCAAGAAAGTAAACAGAGATGTGTGACATTACAAACTACTGATTAATTGATTGACTGATTTAGGTAGGTAGAGATCAGTTACGCCAATCAGAATGATGTTTGTGTCAGCCAGATCGAAGTGTCTCAAACACTGGAACAATAGTTACTTCACATCACGAACTGCTGTGAGTGATTTTTTTACCTACTTATATCAGTCAGTCAGTAGTATGTGTCATCATTAATTTGACATTCTTTCCCATTAGTATTTTCAATTCCCTTTCTCTGTTTTTTTTTTATGTAGACCTTTATGAATTGCACCCAGCCGATGCTCACCCGTGTGTTCAACCGATTCGTACGGGTCCATGCAGAGCTTTCTTTCGGATGTATGCCTATGATATACACTCAAATCGGTGTGTACCATTCATTTATGGTGGTTGTTTAGGAACTCAAAATCGTTTTGAAACGAAACGTGATTGTCAAGATACCTGTTCATCATTTTTATATACGAATGCCGTATTTGGATATGATAAAAATAAGTAAATAACTGAGTCTCTGTTTCCTGTGTTCAATGTGATACATTACTGGTTGCTTTGTTGTTTCAATATGACTCATTTTGTCATTTTTTGACGAAATAAATAAACATGAAGTTTCTTGATGCATAGATTGTCTTTTAATATTTTTTCGAAATTTAATATTTAATATTCATACGAACTGTGATCAAGATTTGATCGTATAGTTGCAAAATAATTGAGCGCTGAGTGAGAAGTAGACATTTGTAAAAAATTATATTTGTAAAATCTCAGTGAAATTGAAATGATTAATTCCAACGCTTCTTGTGTTCGGCAATCTGGTCCGAACTTCTTCAGGGAAATTAATCGAAATTAACATAACAAAGGTTTATATATAAATGGACACCTCTTGTTTTTTAAATTTTGTCCAATCATGAGTCATGCAACAGGTATCAACATGTATAATAAATAAATAAATAGAATTGTATGTTTATATATAAAAGTACATCTCTTATTTTTAAATATGAATCAATAGGTATACCAAACAAAACAAAACAAAAATTGTGTGAACTATGATCAAAAACCTTTTGACCTCAGACTTTCAAAATTTGCCTACTTTTGTTAAAATATATGTGTATATGCAATATATGCAGGATACAATGGTGTGTGTGTATGTGTGTGTGGGTGGAACAGTCATAAAACATTTGCTATTCTCATATGAGCTGTGATCAAGATTTGACCGGATAGTTGCAAAATAATTGACATTTTTATAAAAATAATTTGAACAAGGCATTAAGAAGACAAATTTCGCGAGATGATATCATTTCGTAGTTTCTTTACAACCGCTTTACAACTAACATGGTTAACAATGATAAAATAAAGTTCATGAAATTTACTCAGTTAAATAAAAACAAAAGTAATTTAATTTTACGAGTTGATCACGGATTGATATCAGTTAGAGAACCATTGAAAACCAGGGAGTACTGGACAGCTGCTGTTTCATCCTAGTTTGGGATTCGAACCCGGGACCTTCCGGTTACAAGGCAAGCTCGTATACCATTCAGCCACTGGGACCCGATTCAATGGCTCGTGAATTCTAACTTCTACTAATTCGTGATTTAGCGCGACCCCAACCATTGTCGTTGGTGGGACATCCATCCACACACGTGACATCTAATTGGACCTCACTGGTCACGACTTCTCACTAGAACTCAGGAAACTCCAACCTGTAGCAAGTCACTAGCGAGCATCAGATTAACTTTCTATAGTTTGGTTTGTAAGGATTAGTTATGTTTTAGGAGTTGTCGTGACCAATGAGGTCCAATTAGATGTCACGTGTGTGGATAGATGTCCCACCAACGACAGTGGTTGGGGTCGCGCTCAATCACGAATTAGTAGAAGTTAGAATTCACGAGCTATTGAATCGGGTCCCAGTGGCTGAATGGTATACGAGCTTGCCTTGTAACCGGAAGGTCCCGGGTTCGAATCCCAGTGGGTGCGTACTTCCGATGATTCCCAAACTAGGATGAAACAGCAGCTGTCCAGTACTCCCTGGTTTTCAATGGTTCTCTAACTGATATCAATCCGTGATCAACTCGTAAAACATAACTAATCCTTACAAACCAAACTATAGAAAGTTAATCTGATGCTCGCTGGTGACTTGCTACAGGTTGGAGTTTCCTGAGTTCTAGTGAGAAGTCGTGACCAGTGAGGTCCAATTTAATTTTTATAGATTTGTTATTCTCTTCATAAGAAGACGTAGACAATCGGGAATTTGACCAAGTGTAACTACTTGTTCATACATATCAAATTTTATTTTGTTTATTAGTCAGGATTTGCCATGCATCGGCTAACATCACACCTTCACGTCTGTCTAAAAATGTTGGGATTCACCCATGTATGTAGGGCTTCTGCAGTCAATCTTTCTTGATATGAACCAAAACCTTTCTGTAAAATCTTAGTCTTATCAAAGTCGATTTTGTGTCCCGTTTCTATTGAATGTAGTGCAATCGCTGAGTTGTTTTCTAGCTTCTTCAAGTCTGCAGAGCTCTTTGGAACCACTTTTAGACATTGTTTATGCTCTTTAATTCTTATATTTATCTGCCTAGAAGTTTCTCCTACATATACTGCGTTACAATCCCCACAATTGATCTGGTATACGCAATTCTGCTGGTTTTCTTGTTCTTGTTTTATCCTTAACCTTCACCAGTAATATATATTTAATATATGTTACTTATTTTTGTATTATAGTAGTAAGAGAAAAAAGTGAAAGATTTACTGTAAGAGTAGAATTTGGGTAGTGGGGGGTAGAATATAATTCCATGTTACTGAGGTTGATCCGGTACTAAGATCAGGATGACGATGTTTCGAGCACAGTTTATTACTCACATACATGTCTCATTGTATTCGCACAACTTTCTAATTTGCATTATATAGCCTTACTTACACTATATGTCAGGAATAGATAATCTAACTGACTCCGATCTACTTGTTCGACCTACGAAGGAATAATGTTAGTGTATAATTTTCATTTCATTCTGCAGTCTAGTTTTAGTTGTGCTAATTGGCACTCACCAGTCAGCAAGGCGTATCTGCACCCCTGATGGAACTCAGACAAAGGAAATGCAACAGTAGTATTAGACAAATCAGACTATTTGGACTTCGTAAATACTCACACACAAACAGAACCATATGAGGAGTTTATTAAATCAGTTATGAAGAAAGTTAAGAAATCCACAGCTGACCTTATACGTCGAATGAAGCTGTTTCTAGGTGACTCTAAGTGGTTTAATTTAATGCCCAAAACTAATGACCCCAGTAGGATGTATGGTGTTGTTAAAGTTCATAAGTCAGGATACCATATTAGGCCTATAGTTGATTTTAGAAGTTCCCTTACTTATGAATTGCCTAAATATTTAGCCATGATATTAAATCCCCTAAAAAGCCACTCGAAATCTAGACTAACTAATTCTTATGAACTAAAACACAGATTAGATAATTTAAAATTAGATAATGAAGAGAAAATGGTTAGTTTTGACATTGTCAGTTTATATACACGTATACCAATAAATATGGCTATTGAGGCAGTCAGAAACGAGCTAATTTCTGACCAATAACTCTAACTTAGGACAAAAGTGCCACTTGAAGACATAATACTGGGAGTACAGCTATGCCTGACTTCCACAGTATTTAAATTCCAAGGGAAAATATACTGCAAACAAACTGAGGCAGTTGCCATTGGATCACCAATATTCCCGGTTGTAGCACATATATTCATGTATAGTTGGGAAAACATAGCGATTGAAACACTTACGCCCACCACAAAGGTATGGTGGAGGTATGTAGATGACACATTCACTGTACTTAGAACACAGCATATAGATAAATTTTTCGAACACATCAACTCGAAGGTAGAGGCAATTCAATTCACTTATGAATTGGAAAGTCAGGAAGGGGAACTTCCAATGTTAGACTGCAACGTAAAAAGGAAAGAAGATGACAGGTTAAACACTAGTGTTTACAGGAAACCCACATATTCAAACAGATATTTGGACTTCCGATCACCCATCCTATGTCAGTAAAAATAGGATTGGTGAAATGTTTAAGTGACAGAGCACAAAAACTGGATAGTACCAAGGAAAATCTAAGACAGTAAGTCAGGTATATAAGAGAAGCTTTGAAACTTATTAACAACCCTGGTAAATTCGTTAGAGAGTATATAGGGAAATGTAAAAATAAAATAAATAATGATAGTAGTGATAGTGATGATAATAATAATAATAGTGATGACAAGCATGTCAAACATGTTCAAGATAATGATAACACCAAAAATAAGGAATCTAAATCATCAGTTGTAATTTCATACTAAGAAGGAACCTCGGAAACCTTACGCAGAATTCTTAACAAGGCAGGAATAAGAGTGACTGGCATTCAAACCACCCACAAACTCAATTAGAAACAGGCTTTGTGGGTTGATTGAAGGATCAATCCTGTGGAGCCTTTGCAACAAAACAATTTAGTTTATCTCATACCCTGCCTGCAATGATTGTCAGGTCAAATACATAGGTCAAAGTAGTTGAACAGGGTCAGTCAGTCAGACTAGCCGAGTATACAAAAACCTAGCAGAATCTAGATTGGTTAACCCAAATAAGAAAAGAAATCTAGAGAATAGTTCAGCTATAGAAGTACATGCAATTACACACAACCATACAATAGGCTGGATGGGATAGGATGACAGTTTTAAAATCTAATGTTACAGGGTGGAGGGAGAGACGGATAACAGAAGCTTTGTTTATCGAATCAACTACAAATACATGTAACAAGAATGATTCAACACCTGTCCCAGTCGGCCATCTGGAAAATTCTACTACTCCAACGACGACAAATAAGAGAGGACAAAGGAGACTATAAAACTCAAGTTTTAAAGTCGTGTGATTACAATTGATGGGATGATTATGAACAGCAATAAATTTTGTTCGAAGCTGTGTCATCCAGTAAACAGTAATACTGTTTCACTCACTGTGTGTGATAATTCTAGTAAACAAACTAATATGGAACTACTTACTACCACAGTGCCCAAGATTTACACATATGTTAATATGAAGGAACTCATGTCCCTTTTGAGATTCAAACTCGCATCACCCAGTGACTGCTGCATTTACAGACCTTACCATTGAGCTATTAGGGCTAAGTGGTCCACGTATCTTATAAGCTCTAATTCCCTCCTCATATGATAGAACACCTAACTCGTTGCTTCCAGTTTGGGTGTCTGTAGCGAATTGACCTGTCTGTCGCTGAGAGGGTCCCTAGACCTACAATGAATCTCGTTTAACTGGCTTAGAAATAGCTAGGGACCTAGTAAACTAGGCGAGGTGATATATGTATATCTATTCAGCACAAATTAAAAAAAAGACAGCTTAGAAAAGAATACTCCTAGTTTAATTTCTCTCCACAGCTGTATAGTTAGTTAAACAGCATTACTAAAGCAGAAACAAAGATTGGAATGGCAGTCATCTCTGTATCTCAACTCCA